TGATTGATATCATCTGAGTTACTGAAGTTCCCATCCTAATCCCTGTGAAGAAAGTTGACATAACTATTTATTTGGTGCCTCAAGTACTTTGAATCCTCGTTTCATATTAAGTTGGATCAAGGTCAGAATGCAATTGTGTTCTTTAATGCAGACCAAAAAAATGCACTAAGACAAGGCGATGATGCTTATTGCCTTCTTTACCGGTCAGGAATGATGTATGATGAGTTCGGTAGGAACACCTTCTTTTACATTCATTGGTGTTAGTATTCACTGATTTGGGCTTAACATGCAGATTGACTCAGGAAAAGCAATCCTTAACCACTGATGTCTATACAAAACCATAATCTTCATTTCTGTCAAAGTCTTATTAGACATTCATAGGGTTCAGACAAATTCAGTTGGAAGACTATCTTCCAAGTATTATATTAGTGATCAGACCCAGGTCAGGCATACATGAAGAAGGTGGCTGAAAAGAAGATGATGACCACAGTCAGGAGAGAAACACAGGTGCAGAAGGGTTTCTTCCTGTTCTGGGCCATGAGAACATACAAAATGGTGCTGGTTATGCACATGTAAGAAATTATGATGACAGAGAGGAGATCAACAGAATAAGCAAGGCAAAGACAAAGTCAACCATCTCTGCAATAACTCCTCAGGGCAAGACAGGTTAAGCAAAGGGCTGATGTCACAATAGAAGTGGTTGATGACATTGGGACTACAGAAAGAGAGCTTGGAAATGAAGAAGACCTTTGACATAGATGTCAGAAAGCCAACCAGCCATTACCCCATGGCCAGCTGCATACAGACTCTGTGGTTCATGATGTGGTAGCACAGGGGGTTGCAAATTGCCACATACCAGTCATAGGCCATGACAGCCAGGAGGACACATTCAGTAGAGACCAGGGCAATGAAGTAGAGCTCGGCCATACAACCTGTGAAGGAGATACTCTTATTCTTCACCAGAATGTTGACCGGCAATTTGCGAACAGTGACTGAGATGTACCAACCCTCTAGGAAAGCCTAAGAATGGGCTACATGGGCTTGTGAAGTTGGCAATTTCTTCTGATTAAAGTGATATGACTGTTTTCAAGGACAGTGAACATATACACAATGAGGAGAATTGCAAACAATAGAGCCTGCAGCTCTGTGATGGCAGGGAGTTGCAAGAGGATGAACTCATGGATGAGTTCAATGATAGGGTCAAGAAAAAAATCAGTACCAGATGGATTTATCCTGCAGCATAAAAGAGGGAACCTGTTCAGCCTTCCCCACCGAGACCATTCTTTCTTTTCTCCCTCTTTAATATATGATGAATAACCTCCATCATGATAATGAACTCCACCAATGATGTCATGGGAATGAACAATGTCTCAAACGATACCACTAAAAGCACAGTGGAAATGATCCTCATCTTCAACATTGGCATCTTCACAGTATTGTGCCCATTCCTTCTCTCCCTCACTGCATTGATCTGCTGGGACATACGCCAATGGCAATAACAACGACGGAGAATATACTCCCCTTTCCCACTCTCTCTTTCCATGCTAAGTATACTCACAATGGCCCACCCACAAGATCCGTGGGACCATGCACCACTAAGATACACTGGAAGTCTTGGAACATCACAAAGCAAGACAGGCCTCAATCTGTCCACTTTAGTCTTACATGGGAAGAAAGTATACACAAAAGAGGAATGGGGTTGGGATGACTCTCGTCGAATGGCTTAACTCCAAACCATTCCAGGAGAGAAAATACAAATCAGGTGCTGGGTAATCAATGGATCCACATACCGTAAGCCAACCAAAATGAAAATATTTTATTTGTAAGTCTGATTGTGACCTGTTCTCACCCCCTTTTCCTGCTTCCAGTGTTCTAATTAATGCTCCTTCAGGGACGTAAATAGTAACAATACAGGTGCAAGAGAACTCTGCAAGATGTTAAGTCATTTTGGGTATTTGACCACTTAACTCTACTTCTGTGCCTTATTTTCTTCTTACCATTCCCCTACCATTTCCTTAGCCTACATCTTTCATTTTTTTCTCTCACACTTTCTGTCTCCTAGCAGTTTAAATTAGGGGGAAGCTTCATCTCACTTCATTTTAAGCTTATAGGGCATAGAAACCTATACGTAACCTTACAGTCTGATTCTTCTAATAGATAAGGGTGAGGATGTCAGTCACATAATTTTCAGATAGATTAATGGAAGTAGGCCACATGAAGACTCCCTAGAATTGTATAGTTGTCTCCATTTACGGTAAACATATTGTGGTTTGATTGAATAGCTCATCCTGTGAAGTTAGGTGAAAAGAACTGACTGACCCTGAGTTACTAGTCTGAGCCTGCCTGAAAATACTGAAAAGCAGCAGGCAACTCACAGTTATCTTTCTCAATCCAACTTTCACTGTATTTTTTGTGGTTCACTCAAAAAAACCCCAGTTGTTATCCATCCAACTGCTGCAATGCTATTCATGTCAGCTGCATACTTTCTATAAAATCACTGGAATTGAACAGACTGGCAGCAACAGAACAGGTTCATCTTATGTAGGACTTGAATCATTCTTTGTAAGCAACTCTCTTTTCCTCCAGTAAATGAAGAGAAAGACTCACACAATGGGCCTACTGTGTTAGGTATCCATTAGCTCTGGTGAACCTAGGCTACTGACTCTAAAGGTCTAAAGGTCTAAAGGTCCCCCTTAAGATTAAATTAATTATGTCGTGAAAATGTTTATTTCCCTCCTGTGACTACAAAAACTATCAAAAGTTCAGTGCAGTTTGAAATATCTACATTACAAGTATTTGCAGGACAAATAACTCTTAACAAAAATGCCCCCATTCTAAGAAAAAGAAAGGAGAGCTAGTCAGGAAGAAAAGAGGGCCTGGAACAGAGAAGATGATAAACAGCAAAGTAGGCACTGGTCAGGAAAAAACCCCAAACTGATCCAGAGAAAATCTGAACAGAGAATTTTGTATGTTAATAAAATGGCACGCCATACAACCATTTTAAAATGAGAAATCAGTCTGTGGAATATATATTGTAAATACCCAGTATCTATTATAAATACCTAGATGCAAAACATTCCCTCTAGAATAATTTTCTTCTGTATTATGTCCAGACTTGCTGTCCAAAACAGGAGGCTTATTCAATATTTAATAACTACAGTATTGTCTATGTGGGTTTTTTCACTTCACTGTCAATCCAGGTTTAGCAATCTTTTTGGCAACACCAACAACATGGGAATAACAAAATTAAATGGATTAGCTATTCTAGTGACAGCAGGAATCACTGGAGGAATCTGGGGGGTGTTTAACCTTTGACAATGATTCTCATATATTTCTCTTTCCCAGCTTGACTGTTGTTTCTCGTAGCTATACTTAGGCAGGTACAATGTAAGCATTTGCACAAAGCTGTATTTCCTAATCTCCTTTTATATTCAAAAGATAAAATAAGCAAGTGTGGACACTTTTCATCTCTGTGAAATTGATCTCTGTATATTCCTGTGAGCACAAATGTGTATTTTTGTGTTTAACATACCACTGGACTCCAGACCAACAGAAGGTTCCTTGCACAGTACTTTGTGGAGCAGACTTAGCCATATTTATCATGCATAATGGTTAGCCTGGTCTCCCTTGGTTTGTGTGTCCCTATAGTAGCCTACTACAGTGATGCTTGCATAATATGTGTTCAGTGCCCTGGAGCCTGGCGTGAGTTCAAGTGGGGATATCTGGGAATGTAGAGTTTGCTGGAATAATATTGGGCCTCATGAAATGCGAATTAAATCATCCACAGATCTTCAGAGTTAATAGAGCTGCAGGTAACATCAGGCTAGACAACCCTCTTGAAATAACTGAGCTTTGCACATCCTCAACACCAGTATGTATATATACAAATATGTATTCTGTTAGATTTGTTTTATAGATTCAACCATAGATAGAGTGGAGGAGGTGTTGATTTATTGTTTTTATCATTGACTCATTGTTTTCTTATTCTGTCCAAGGTACTATCACCCTTTCTCGTCAGCCAGTAACCAGGAACCCACAGACTCCTCTGAAGAGGGTATATCGCTGTAAGGGACTGACTTTCATTCTGCATGCCTTACAAGATCCAGCATGTGTGTCATTCTAGTCCACTAGGATAAGACTCATCTGATAAGATTAATTTTTAATCAGAAGAGCCACGCCCTAGAAGTGCTCATTTTCATTTTAGGATAAGTTATCCTGCTGTGACCAGCTAAGATGTAGACATTTCTACTGTGAATGCCTTGACCTGCATGAATAGACTCAGGTTCCAGAGATTTAACATGGGGACTCTGAAAAGGGAAACACAAAAAAAACACAAATCCAGCTCCCCTAAAATCCTCTCATGAAAAGACAGTTTAATCCCACCTGGTTTAGACATCTAAAAGTTGTCTACCTATTTCTAAGGAAGTCATCTAGGCATCCTCTGTAATCATTAGAAAGTGGGCTCTGCCAAAGTCTATTAATCCTGTACTTAGTTAGGGATCTAGAGATAATTAGTCTGTGTCATGTTCTTACCCAAATAACACTCTGGACAACTAATTATATTTCTAGATCTGGGCTTGCTGATATAAGATAATGTAAGATAAGATAATGTAAGACAAGACTACTAGGACCTTTTATTTTACTATAAGCCAGAAGTAAATCCTTTGAAATCAGTATAGCTGCATTTTGAATTATTTCAATTGTGTGTGTGTGTATGCATGCGCGTGCTCGTGCACAAGCATTTGTTAGGAGTAACTTAAGTTAAAGAAATTATACAATTAAAATAGCTTTGAGTTGTAGCCAATTATAGGGAAAAAACTACTTTTATTTGGTCAGATGTGTGTCTTCAATGACCTTAATTCCAAATCGTTGCCTTGAGAAGTGAAACCTGGGATGTACACCACTGTATAAGAAAGTAGGAACTGCCTTACACCCCTGATACTCTTTTCATTAATGTGAAGTTCTTTTCTGTGTTTTGTTTTGTTTTTAGTATGACCAACATGAATCAGAGCTTCTGCCAGCTTTCATGGTAAGGACCTCTTATCTTTACTCTCTCACAGCTCTTACCTATGAATATTGAATAACACATGATGCCAAAGCTGAGTCTTCTGTCCTATAAGAACAGCTAGCTTGTCAAATAATTTAATTCCTGAGTTTTATTCTTAATAAAAATTTCTGATTGTCCAACATAAGAATATGTTGAATCCCGGGCTGTCCTTTAAAGAGGAAAAAAAAAATTGATTCAGTATAGGGGACAGTTCCCTGTATTAACTTCTTCATCTGGAAAATATAGCACAGACCACATTAGGATTATCTCTTTTCACTTTTTCAGGGTTTTTCTAAAGATATTCAGAATACCTACACGTGTTCTTGCCAGAAGAGGGCAAGATTCATCCACAAGGAGGGAATGCAACTGACACCTTTTGTGTGAAACAATAAGGATAACACTTATATGGTCTGTGACACAGATCCTTTTTTTTTTTTTTTTCATTAATTTTGAACCTGAATAGTCTCAAAAGTCAAAATTGTGTTCCCCTGGTACCAAGGGAACTATGTCAGACTCGGTAGAGACCTGGGTTATATTCCATTCACACTAGACACAATAAAGCAAGAAGGGATAAGAACATAGCAGATATATGTGAGGAAGTGGTGGGTGGCTGCTAGTGTTGTTAGTCCTGAAATAAGAGTGGGCACAGTGATACCAGAATGCTTAGTCCATCTGTGCTGAGTGTTCCCCTCTTAGACATGGGAGATACCTCTCTCCCACAGTGGTTCTACTCACCATGGAAGAAGATCTGGCTCCTGTGGTGTCATCAGAAAAAAAGATTTGGTTTATTGTCCTGATATATGTTGCTGTGATGAAACTCAGGTTTACCCAACAGGTACCCTTAAACAGCCCTGATTACATGATTTGCCTTATTACCAATTCCCCATTTCTTGACTCTGCTATTTGCCAACCATGTGCCTTCATTTCTCCACCCCAGTCCCCTTCCAAATAAACAATTCACCTCTAGGTACTTTTTATCCAGTGATCACAGTTCTGCTACATCCAGACCTAAATTTGATATTTCTGATATTGTTATCTTACTTTGGACTTCTATAGTATTACTGATATGGCTACCTAGAAGCTGTTGGCCTTGCAAGAATCTGGTCCCCCAAAAGTCCCCAACAGCCTTTCTATTACCTATCAATCTTGGTCATTTCTCACAAAACTCCCCCTTAACCAACTGTGAAATCCGGCCACCCTGCACAGCACTATCTGTAGGTTCTGTCACATTCCCACACTCTTATTTGCAATATCCAGCAATTTCTTATGTCTTGTACAGTAGTTTTCTACATCTTGCTCAGTTATATTAATCTCAGGGTAAGGCATAGCCAGCAGCCTAGTCATTTGGCTGAAGCCCTGCACTATGGGCCACTCTACACATTTGGGCAATTTTTCCTGAGTGGCTTAAGCTGGAAGATGTGGCTATTGACATTGATTCTGCACTGAAATTATAGGCACACTTGAACAATCAGAATATTCTATTAAAGAAAATACAAAGCAATGAGAAGAAACTCTTTCACAGAATCACAGAATAATTTAGTTTGAAAGGGATCTTAAGATGGAGCTTCCACAATCTCTCTGGGCAATCCATTCCAGTATTTGATCACTCTCATCATCTAACAAAAATAAATTTAAAATTCCTCATATGTAATTGGAATTTCCCATGTTCCAATTTATGTCTATTCCCTCTCATCCTATTGCTGTGCACATCAGAGAAGAGTCTTGTTCCATCTTCTTCGTGTCCTGCTCTCATCAGGTAGTTCTAGATAGCAACAAGGTCTCCCCTTAGCCTTTTTGGCTTAAAGCTGAACAGGCCTCATAATGTCAGCTTCTCGTCCTGTTTCATGTGCTCCAGTCCCCACTAGCTTGGTGGCCTCTGCTGGACTCTGTAAGAGACGACTTGTAAATTCCCTGAAAAAAATGGTGAGAGACAAAAGATGGGGGAGGCCCTCTAAGCCTCACTGAGGAATGTCTCAAACACTCACAAGGACTTAGCCAAGCGGTGGATAACATGGAGTCTGGACAATGCAGGCCTTGTGCTCAAAGAACTGACAAGGCTAACACCTTCTTATCTCTTTTGTTACCCAGGAGAGAAAACTCATCTGGACAGGACAGGGAGGGGGAGGGGAATAATGACCTTTGCCTCATTATCCATTAAATGCATATTAAAGTTCACATCCTTGCATATGCTAATGAAGATTACCGAGATCACGCTAAACATGAATGACTATAGGACTCACCTCTCCACCCAAATCATGTCACTTAGTGGGGAGAGAAACCTGAGCATTGTAACAGCGGGGCGGATTGTACTGATACCGCGAACATAAAAGAGGAAAATAAGTGCCCCTAGAGACCTCTTTTTTCCCTGGAGAAAGACTTTTTTCCCTGGAGATCCACAGAGGAGCACTCCTACGAACCAGAAACCCACGTTGTCTGGACCAATGCTGGAACCAGGACAGGTGATCTCTTTATCTCTCTCTCTCTCTCTTTTTCTCTATCCTTCTGTTTCTCTTTCTTCTCTCTTTTTCTTTTAAAGTTAAGTACGTAATGCAAGGCATACCTTACCACTTGCTATAATTCATGGTATAATTTGTTGTTTCTCTGTTGCGAAGTAACGCAAGGCGTACTTTACCACTTGCCATACTTTGTTTTACCGTTTGCCATAATTTGTTATATACCTAACCAAGTATTGTGGACATAGTTAAGACATATATTAGTCACTGTGGGAATCTAATAAATGTTTTTGTATGGACCTTGAGAGTTGTCTCACCTTAGTCCACACCGTTGGGGATTTGTGAATCTGAGTCACTTCCCCCGCTCTCTTGTGAGTGGGGCGTGACAGACTCCCATCTGTATGTCAATTGCAGGTGCATCCCCCAAGTGTCAAAGAGGGGGGAAGAGCCTCTCCCATTTACTAATGGTTACACTCATTAATATAGCCCATGATGCAGTTACCTTTCTTTGCTATAAGTACACACTGCTGACTCCTGTTTAACTTGTTCACCAGGGCTCCTTTTTAGTCAGTCAGCCCACAGCTTGTCCTGTTGCGTTGGGTTACTCTGGACCAGTTTGCACTCACCTTTGCTGAACTTCATGTTGTTCCTGTCAGCCCATTTTTCCAGCCTTTCCAGGTACCCTGAATGGCAGCCTTGCCCTTTGACATATTGACCACACCCTCTAATGTGGTGTTGTCCACAAACTTGCTGAGAAGTAACAGATTCTGAATATGGAAGCAAGAAAGAGTTTAATCTGGCAGTTTACCATAATGAAACTCTTCCATATTTTTAAGCAAAAAATGCTTCATTTCATTTAACTGAGCTTTATTTCATCAGCTTCTTTTATTGACTTATGAATTATGAATTTCTAATCCTTATTGCTTTTTTGAGTTAGTCTTCCCCTCTTCATCACCTCTTTTATAATACACAGTCATGCTACTCTCTAGAAATGCTGCTTTAAATACAGTCACACACTATTCTTTAAGGAGTTTAGCATGTGTGACTGAAGGGGAAATAAACGTTAAGTCCAATAAAACAATATGACAAAGAGAATGTATTATTCTCGTAACTGATTTGAAATGAAAAAGGATCCAATATGACACAGTATGTTCACCACTACCAGCCCCCAAAAAAGTTAGTATGGCTAGACATATCTTTCTTTGTATGTGTATGTGTGTTTCTTTTTATATCTCTCTCTTAGCCTGCTTAAACTATTACTTTTAGTAAGTTTTTCTACTTTATAGAGCCTGTTTTTCCTACTGGAAAATCTAGGAATCAAGACTGGTGGGTTCCCATTTGGTGACTCAGCTACAGGAACCTGCATAAACAATGAGAATGGACAGCAGTGCCATCTTCTCTGTGATATGTCCTATCTACTCTAGAGTGCAGGCATGCAGACGTACACCCATGAGTAACCTACAAACTGTATTAAAGATTGGACCAGAAGCTCACCATGTAGAAGTAAAATCAAATTTCCTGAAGATGCCCTACAGTAAGAGACCTGCTGAAATAATCTTAAAATAGATTATTCTGCATTCAACCCTCGTTAGACCATCTGAATAGTATGTGTGAGGAACATTACTTAAATGTAGTTAATATTGTTTTTATGGAGGTGAAGTAATATATTATACCCAGCTAACTGACTGGATACTCAGTGACACTGGATCAAGGGAATACTGCTGAAACACGTAAGGATCTCTTGTGGGTTTCATCCCTCAAAGCATGAAAAAGAAATTCTGAAACTGCTGTGCCATAAGGTATTTATGTGTCTTTTATTTCCCTCTGACTTACAGACAAACAGATTTAAATGAAACATCTCCAATGCTTCCACAGTAAGGATAAGTTCTCTGGCTTAATTAACGTGATATTGCATTGTTCTCATGACTGTGTTTCTGGCACATAAAAGTCAGGACAGCTGAGCACAAGGCTGAATGAAGAGGAAAGCGTGCATATTTAGAGAAGGTACTCTTCCAGAAACCATTAAAAAATGCATAGATGCAGAATCTTTTGTTTGTTTGCTTTCAGAAAGGAAACTGGGAAATTATGGTGAATGCTGAAATGTTTTTGGTTTAGTCAGAGCTTAACTAATTTTTTCCCTCACCTGTCACCACCCATCTCAGAAGCTAAGAAAGAAGAGTCCTTGGCTGATGCTATTTTTAGTGGTAACAATCAGAATTCCAGATGAATTGTAAATGTCTGTGAAAGTGACAATTTTGGTCAGTGGGATGAATTATTTTCTGGAGTTGCCTAGTCTAATGATTGGCTCTAGAAAAACAATAGAAAAGATACTGGAGAGAATTCAACAAAGGGCCACAAGGATGATGAAGGGACTGGAGCATCTCTCCTATGACGTAAGCCTGAAAGAGCTGTGGCTGTTCAACTTGGAGAAGAGAAGGCTTGGGGGTAACATCAACATATATAAATACCTGAAGGGAAGGTGCAAAGAAGACAGAGCCAGGCTCTTTTCAGTGGTGCCCAGTGACAGGACAAGAGGCAATGGGCACAAACTGAAACACAGGAGGTTCCCTCTGAACCGCAGAAAACACTTTTTTACTGTGTGGGTGACTAATCATTGGAACAAGTTAGCCAGGTGTCACGGTCCACTCTTCGGTTCAGACTGAACTCTGGTACTTAACATAATTTCAGATGTATAAATTTAAATATATATATATTCCAAATTAATGTTTCTTTAATTATTTTTTTCCTCACAGATTTTAAGTTTCAATACTACAAACCTAAAAGGAGGAAGTTCATCTTTTCTCCTGCGAGCTTCTGAGGAATTTTGTTGTTTGTTTTGTTATTTGTTCTGTTGTCTTCTCTAGTCATATTCAGGAAGATCCTTCTAAGGTGAAATCTTCACCTGACTCTCCAACTACTGATAGTGTTTTTGACAATCCATATTATGCATTAACCCATACACACCTAGGCCCACACTTTCCCTCTATTAACACAGGGACTGTTTTGGAGCTGTTCAGACTGAAAATGATCTCATATTATCCTTTACTGTCATCTCAAATTATCCTTTTCCATTTAGTGATACACAAGCCCTCTGGACTATGTGGATTGCTTCCAAATAGTGTCTTTGTAAAGTAATTCAGAAACACATTCCTGTAACTGGAAGGACTCTGGTTATACATGAGTCAGTGTATTGAAACAAAAGCCTTCAGTCATTCACTTAAGAATTCTTTTTTTTTTTGTTATTGTTTTAAAAATCTACTGCTCATTAAGGTTTCTGTGTCTGAGTTTTAACTGATTACATCCTTTGTTTCTTGTCTTTGCCTTTGATGCTGAATAGTCATTAACCAGATACCCTCTTGAACCACAAATGTTTACACTCCACATATACTTACAATCCCTGCTATTCTTGCTGTTACTATTATTGGATTATAGTCATAATGAATGACCATGTACACTATTCCAAGGTCATACATATGTTTTTTTTTCTACAGTATATTATATCCTCAGCCACTTCTGACAAAACCACAGTAAGTTTGATTTTTTTAAATCTGTAAGCACCGAGAGAAGAAGATGTATCAGGGATGATTCTTCTCAGATAAATTCAGAGATTTGTCATATAAGTACTTTTTAGGTTATGTGGTAAAAGATTCATCTCCACACAACACAAAGGAGCAGAGGGGAGCAATGGGAGGCAGGGAACTCCAGTAGTCTAATAAGAGAAACAATCATGGTGTAAAGGTGTAAAGGATGTAAAAGGACAGCAATTGGTCGACAGATGAAATCTATTAAGATGAGTCAAAGTGAGAGCAACTTTCAGACTAAGAGAAGTTACTGCCTACAAGGGCATGAGATTGCAGGAAAGAGCATTTTGGGATCAGAGAATCCCAGAATCCCAGACTGGTGAGGTTTGGAAGGGCCCTGTGGAGCTCACCCCGTACCACCCCCTGACAGAGCAGGGTCACCTACAGCAGTTACACAGGACAGTGTGCAGGCGCGTTTGGAATATCTCCAGAGTGGGAGATTCCCCCATCCCTCTGGGCAGCCTGTGCCAGTGCTCTGCCACCCTCACAGGAAAGAAGTTCCTCCTCATGTTAAGATGGAACTTCCTATATTCAAGTTTGTGCCCGTTATCTCCTGTCCTGTCACTGGGCACCACTGAAAATGGACTGTTCCCATTCCCCTGGTACCCTCCCTTATAATCATTAATAAGATCCCCCCTCAGTCTTCTTGTCTCTAGAGTAAAAAGATCCAAGTCTCTCAGCCTTTCCTCATAAGAAAGATGCTCTAGTCCCCTAATCATCTTTGTAGCCCTTTGCTGGACCTTCTCCAGCAGTTCCCTGTCCTTCTTGAACTGGGGAGACCAGAACTGGACACAATACTCCTGATGTGGCCTCACCAGCACAGAGTAGAGGAGAAGGATAACCTCCCTCAACCTGCTGGCCACACTCTTCTTGATGCCATTGGCCTTCTTGGCCACCAGGGCACATTGCTGGCTCATGGTCATCCTGTTGTCCACCAGGACTCCCACATCCCCGGTCCTCAGGCACTTCACCTCTTCTGCAGGGCCTTTCAAAGATGATGGAGAGCAGCCTAGCAATGACTTCGCCCAGCTCCCTCAGCACTCACAGGTGCATCCCATCAGGCCCCATGGACTTGTGGGTATCCAGTTTACTTAATTGTTCTCTAACTTGTTCCTCCTCAACCAAGGGAAAGTCTTCCTTCCTCCAGACTTTCTCTGTTACCTGTGAAGTCTGGGACTCCTGAGGGCTGGCCCGCGCAGTGAAGACAGAAGCAAAGAAGGCATTCAACAACTCCGCCTTCTCTGCACCATCTGCCACCATGGCACCTGTCTAATTGAACATAAGGCCCACATTTTCCCTAGTTTTCCTTTTGCCTCCTATATACTTGAAGAAGCCCTTCCTGTTGACTTTGACATGCCTTGCCAGATTCAATTCCAAGATGGCCTCGGCTTTCCTCATTTCATCCCTGCATACTCTGATGGCATTCTTGTACTCTTCCCAAGTGGTCAGTCCCTTCTTCCACATACTTACTTCTTCTACTTGAGATTTTTCAGAAGGTCCCTGCTCAGCCATGCAGGTCTCCTGCTTCCATTGCCTGATTTCTTGCTGTTAGGGATGCACTGAGCCTGAGCTTTGAGGAGGTGATGCTTAAATATCAGCCAGCTCTCTTGAGCTCCCCTACCCTCTAGAACTGTCACCTGTGGGATTTCTCAAAGCAATTCCTTAAAGAGATCAAAGTTAGCCCTCCTCAATTTTAAGGTTTCAACCTTACTTGTCATCTTGTGCATGCTGCACTTAATTCTGAATTCTGTCTTCTCATGATCACTGCAGCCATGTCTGCCCCCAACCTTAACGTCCTCCACCAGTCCCTCTTCGTTTGTCAGTACTAGGTCCAGTAGTACACCTCTCCTTGTGGGCTCCTCCACCACCTGAGTCAAAAAGTTATCAAAAAGTTTGTGGCATAATCATATTCTATATACTTGCATTATGAGAAGGTTGCTTGTTTCTCTTCACTTACAAGAATGGATCCCTGACAACCTATTCAGATGTATACATCTACAATGTAGACACCTACATTTGGGCAGAAAATTGCATTGACAAATGTATTGGTTGAATTTTATGAAATCTGAATCATCATACAGACAAATTTAATCAGTGTAGGGGCTAAGGGGCTCAATAGTCAGTGGCACCTCCAAAATGTGATCAAACCATCGCAGCAGTAAATTATATTCTGCCAATTTTGGTGTTCTCTGTACTTTCAAATTAACTCAGGGCTCAAGCCTGAATGTGTCTAAAGCCCCTGAATATGTATGTTGTTTACACAGTTGCTTGCTCTCTGGATATATGCTGGACAGAGCTAGTACACTCTTTGGATATTAAAATTGGATAAAAGACTAAAATGCTGTGTGGACATAAATGATTCAGTTCACGTGATTCTGTGAAGCTGAGCTAGTAGTCAGGTATGTCTATTATATAGTCAGCTGTAGCTATAAATTTCCCGTCACCAAAAGCTAATCAGGAACACAGGTTCTAAACTTACTCCAGTTCTTCCGCAGTTAGATAAAGACTCCCTTCATTCTCAAACTGCTTGCAGGAGCCGGGATGTACTGGTATTTACATCCTGGTTGGCTCCAATTGTCTGGGAAGGCACATTCAGTAGAGACATCCTGAATGCACAATATATGCAGAAGAACCTTGTCACTGGAGTGGTCACTTTTGCTGTGAAAAAGTATTGGTTTGTCATTTACTTCTTGTCAAATACTTAAACCTCTCTGTGCCAGCTATGATGCAATACTGCTGGCAGAGCAGGAGTAAGAAAGGTTTCAAAGAATATGAGCAGTTTTAGACTGGGAGAAATGTGACATGAGTGTCAACTTCCCAAGTAAGGCAACTGGCTGTGAAAAAACAGGAGACATTGCCTTTCAGGGGGCAAAAAATATTCTTGGAAACATAACTCGCATTTTCATCCCTTAAGAAGAAAATTCCAGCTCCTGCTATGTTTCTAGCAAGTTTTGCCTCTAACCTGGGGTAAAAAATACAAAAATTCACAAAGATGAGATTTGTAATGGGTTCCTACTAGAGTTCAGAGTTAAAATATTAGCTCCATTAAAATTATTAACCATGCCATTGTAGCTTGTAAGTGCTGGGGGAGGCTCCTCTTCAAGTTTCTGAGTTAGTAAAGAACTATACTCCCTCTATCTCCACTAAGCATCTCAGATTTAAATAGAGACTTCAGACACCTCAAGGCAAACAAAATTATTTCATTGATAATTTTGATCCTCTCTAGAACAGTAAGTTAAAAAGTTAAACTGCAGAAAAAGTGTCAGGGAGCCAGGGAGCATGTCAGACTGAAGGGTGAGGAGAAGTCTTTATACTATACAGGGAGATTAGTGAGCAGCACAGGTTAGAAGACGTGTTCTGTACAGTGAGCATGAAAGACCAAGGAGTAGAGAACAGTGAAAACTGAAAAATGGTATAATGTGCAGCAGTATGGGGAAGGGCTGAAGGGGTAGCAGCTATGTTAAATAAAGAGCAATAATATAAGAAGGGAGCAATGGATAGAAAAGGAGAAACAAAGTTAACTTGAAAAGCCACCATTCTTCCACTGGAGGAAACCCTCTCCATTCTTTTCGGTTCCTTGTCTCTCAGATATGTCCAGTTCACAGAAGTGTTCATGAGCTTTGCCAACAAGTACTTCCTTGCTGGGCACCAGGTGAACTTCTACTTGTTCACAGACAATCCTGAGCAGATCTCTCACCTTCAGATGGCCCCTGAGAATCACCTCTTTGTCATCCCTGTCCAGAATAACTCACAGTGGCAGGATATCTCCATGAGCCACATGGATATCATCAGCAGATATATCTGCAGCAAATTCCAGTATGAGGTCAACTATCTCTACTCCATAGACATTGATGTCCAGCTATTTGAACACACTGGTGGGAAGATCACTGCTATACTGGTGGGGACCATCAGCTCCTGGCAGTATACCCCACATCATGAGAGCAAATCATATGAGACACAGACCGAGTCACAAGCTGCTATCCCTAAGGGAGAAGGGGACTTCTATTATTCAGCAAGCTTCTACGGGGGAAGTGTGGCTGAGGTCTACAAACTGACCATAGCCTGTTTTAAAGGGGTCATAGAGGACAGAGAAAATGGCATTGAAGCTAGGTGGCATGATGAGAGCCACCTCAACAAGTTTCTCCTCTATCACAAACCCACATGCCTGCACTCCCCAGAGTACTACTGGGATGAAGAGATAAGCTGGCCCCACATTATCCAGGTGAAGAGGATGTGCTCTGTACACAGGAAAGAAATAAGTAAGCTTCTAAAACAAAGAAAGCAAGAAAGAAGACAGGTCATCAGTGAAAAGACAGTGAAAGAGATGTGGAGGTTATAAAGTCATTAATTCACCCGAGTCGGTCTTTCTGTATTTCTGATGCCAATAGGAAAGGCCAAATTATGCTGCTTATTGAGATTTTTCTCTATTAACCTAATTTTTATTGCAGAGTACAGGTGATAAGAAAGCATGTATGCCTATTTCTCTTTTCACTCATCTTTGCTTTGTAGTTGTGATAGACTCTCTTCAGTGCTCATGACTCCTGGGAGCCCAGGATCAATATCAATGTAAGCCATGCAGTCCCATCATATGTTCTTGCCTCTAGATTTTATAATCCTTTAGAGTCATTAGTTCAAGCACTTCTTTCTTTTCTTTTTGCTTATCTTCTAATATATTCAGCATTATTGTTCTAGCCTTTGCTTGGGTTATGTCTTTTCCAGCCTCTCACAAACCAATTTTCCAAAACACAAGGTCAACTGTACCCATTCATACTCAACCAACAAAGTTAATAATCCCAAGAAAACATATTTTAATGCTGTCTTAATCAGTTTATCTTAAGAGATATGGATGTATTGAGGTGCCAAGAAAAAAATTAATCCTAATGTACAAGTGCCACAAGTAAGAGTTGGAAGGGACCTCAAAGATCATCTAGTTCCTAACCCCTGCCATGGGCAGGGACACCTTCCACTAGACCAGGTTGCTCAAAACGTGGCCTTGACCACTGCCAGGGATGGGGCATCCACAACTTCTCTGGGCAGCCTGTTCCAGTGTCTCATGACCCTCAATGTAAATAATTTCTTCCTAGTATCTGAGCTAAATCTACCTTCTTTCAGTTTAAAACCATTATGCCTCATCCTATCACTACACTCCCTGATAAAGAGACACTTCCCATCTTTCCTGCAAGGCCCTCTTTAAATGCTGAAAGTCCACAATAAGGTCTCCCTGGAGCCTTCTCTTCTCCAGGCTGAACAACCCCAGTTATCTCAGTCTGTCTTCACAGGAGAGGTGCTCCAGCCCTCTGATCATCTTCATGGCCCTCCCATGGACCCGCTCCAACAGGTCCATATCTTTCCTGAGCTGAGGGTACCAGAGCTGGACACAGCACTCCGAGCAGGGTCTCACAAGAGCAGAGTGAAGGGAAGAATCCCCTCCCTTGACCTCCTGGCCATGCTGCTTTTGATGCAGCCCAGGATGCGGTAGGCCTTCTGGGCTGTGAGCGCACATTGCCAGCTCATGTCCAGCATTTCATCCACCAGTACTCCCAAGCCCTTCTCGGCAGCGCTGCTCTCAGTCCCTTCATCCTCCAGCCTGTATTGATACCGGGGGGTTTCCCAACCCAGGTGCAGGACCCTGCACTTAGCCTTGTTGAACTTCATGAAGTTCACATGGGCCCTCTTCTTGAGCCTGTCCAGGTCCCTCTGGATGACATCACATCCCTCATGCATGTCAACTGCACCACTGAGCTTGGTGTCATCTGCAAACTTGCTGAGGGTGACCTCAATCCCATTGTCTATGTCATTGATGAAGATGTTGAATAGTACTGGTTCCAGGACCAACCATGGTGTCCATGTGGGACACCACTTGTCACCAATCTCCATGTGGACATTGTGCTATGTATAATAAAATTATAATGAAAATATATTCATTAGTAGGCAGACAATTTGCTCTAAAAAAGACACAAAACGTCTGGCTAGTCATAAATATAAGATCATTAAGTACTTCTTCTGTTGCAGCTGGGACAACTCTGATCCAAAAGCAAGTTGCAGATACAGCCAGCTTCTTAAATTACTTCATGTATGAAACTAAAAGTAAATAAAAATAAATTCAGGCAAGACCTGACAAATTCTGAGGCATAATACATATTATTATTGTATGCCTGGAGCCTACTACTGGCACTGGCAGCTCCAAATTGGCTGGGCTTGCAATAGCAGGGGCTAGTCATTTTGTTTGAGTCTCTCCACCAAAGGCAATCTGTAAAGATTCTATGAGGGTTAAGTGAAATTAATGTGTGAGCACAACTGAAGCACTGTGTGTATCTAAGTTAAGACAGGTGTACCAGGGCTGGACATAAACATAGATGGACAAGGGGAAGCCACTGCATTGGTATATATCCTGAATTTTCTGCAATTTTCAGGACTTAATCTGTCGACTTGAGGATTAAGTCCTAACAGAGGATGAACACAGGGATATTAAGATAAGAAGACACTGGAGCAATGTCTTACAATGGATCCATCAGTTTGTCACTCTGGTTAAATTTCCCAGTTAAAACAGAGTATGGAACATCATGACTGAAATAGAACAGGAGAAAGCCTGAAGGTTAAGACCAGATTAGGATAATGACTTAATTTATTCTAGGCAGGTTTGACTTGAAGGAGCAAATTGAAATCGAAAATTAACACTGCTATATGAAAGTGGAACAGCACAGTGTCAAAAATGGACTTGTCAAGGGAATTAATTTAACAAAGGTGGATCAAGACCATACATGGAATTAGGAAGAACTCAGTTTTTCTTGTCTGTGGAAGTATTCAGTCTTTCTCTGCTTATTGGGTCACTTTAAAACTCAATCATTTTCATGATCATTTTCAAACCCAGCTGAGGGGTGCTATCTCAAAACAGAGGGGTCACAATTCCCTAAGTCATTCTAAGAGTTATGGGAAACTTTGCTGCAAACACTCTCTGATCATTCTCTGTAGGCTGTAGATCTTGAGTATAGATCAATCCTCCCCACAGTGCCTCACTTTATTTGTTCCAGGATGCCAGTTGTACAATGAGCTGTGAGGTATAGAACAAGGGAAAGGGGTCTGTGGACAGAAGGCCTGTATGCTTTGCCCAGGAATCTTGGTGAATGACAATCCAGCCCCTGTAATCAGCTGAACAGTACAAGTCAGACCACGAGACAGCATGGCTAGACCTGACCCATATACTTAAAACACATGAATGGGCCAGGCTATGCAGAAGGTTTAGGTGGGTGGGACAATCTGTTGCACAGGTCACTTTGTCTGGGTTTTCACAATATCTGTTATGAATGTGTTGCTCTTTGCTCTATAAATCTGATTGGTAATCCCAGCCTTCTGATGCTGTTATACATTTTGGTGCAACCGTGTTCATTAAGAGTTTGAAAATAGAGCAAGAAAGTAACACTGTACTCAAGCCTGGTTTGTCCAAGGGGTGGGCAGTGAAAGGTTCCTAAAGATGAGCCTGAAAAGAGGAATGTCTGTGACACTGACTGTGACAAGCTCAGTATTGTTTGTTCACCAAACCTAAAAACTCTCATTGTTACAGTGTTTCATGAAAGGCAGCTGCTTGGCAGGATGGGGCAAGATAGCCAACATCTGCTAAGCAAACAAGGCCAGGCTGCAAGGTCGAGTTATGCTAACATCATAAATTGTGAAAAGACTTGGGAGGAAGGGAAAGGGGGAGGCTCAGTCAAGTCCTGCTAACATCATAAATTGTGATAAGACTTGGGAGGCTCAGGAAGACATGGAGCCTTCATCCCTGCGACCACCAAAAAGCAAAGGAAGAAAAAGGACGACCCCCTAGCAACAAACCGCGCAGACGCAGAGTACACCACTAAGAGAAACGCCTACACCAGAAGTAGAAGAGTATAAAACCAAAGACTTTTGTAACCTAAGTGCGCGCCGTCGGCGGAGTGAGACTCCCGGGCCGCCCAGCGCTGTTTTGCTTGCTGCCGCTTGCTAATAAATCCTTCAAATTTAATTGGCTCCGTCTCCTCGCCTCACTTTGTGAGATGAACTTATAACAATTTTGGTGCCGTGACTCGGATAGAGGCAATCTGGTGAGAAGCCCCATACAGGGGGGCGCCCCTCTGAAATTCAGCGGCCCTGGCTGGGAGCTATCTCATCACATCCTCTACCGACGAACCCTAAATTCGGCAACAAGCAAAAGAAAGCCGGCAAACCCTGTAATCTTTGTGCACGAAGCTCCGAACGAAGACGCAGGGACGCGTGAGTATAGGCCGGTTATCCGTTCGGTTTGGGTTGGGTATCCTGGAGTGCGACAGTGTGAGACGTCCACCGGACTTAGTAGTCCATCAGACGAAGCGAGTGTGGACCCCTTAGTAGTGCGGTTCCCATCTCCCGCGAGGGACTGGGCCACGAATAGGGGGAACGTGTGTGTGTGAGAAGGCACTCCGGAAGATGGGACAGAAGAAAAGCAAGCCTTCTGATCCCATGGGTGGATTGGGACCTCATGTGAGACTTCCCCGATACCACCAGGCAGTTCGTTAGGTTTAATAATTAAATATTGGGATGATTACCCCTCTAGGCGGGGTAAGGACAAAGTAAAATTAATTCATTATTGTATGGAAGTTGGGGGGGGGACAAATAAGAGGAGACCCCCTTTATTGGCCTGTATTCGGTTCCTTCGAGAATTGGGTTTGTCAAGCTTTGAATATTTATGTAAATTCAAAAGAACCTTTTAGTTTAGAGGAGAGTGCATATGCTCATTTGTAGATTGGTTCAGAGACGAGAGTAAATTTATATCCACTAAAAGAAAACAAGGAAGAGAGTAAGAAGAGGAGGAGACCGAATGATGAAGAGGGA